TATATATATATAATCAGGACAACAGACCTGCAGTCAAATTATGCACAAGTGATGGGAGAAACATGCAATTCTCAATATCACTTATGTGATATAATATACATGTTTGTCCACACAAAGAAAATGGATGGAAATGTAGTTGAGAATACACAAAAGAGAGAACAACATGGACTTTACTCGCTAAAGGATAGCTATTTTTCTACTATAATATTTGGTTGTCATGGATTTAGGAATATGACAATCAGTTACTCCTCTTCACATATTCCTATATTAAAAGGAAGTTTTTTTTTCTTCTTCAATTTTAGCTCAATGCATCAAGTAAAACTGAAGGTGCACATAAAGCAGCATAGTCTGTGAGATTGTCTAAGATTTGTGATAAAGCCCATAGGCTTCTCATTCCATCTGTGAATCCAAGACTGATAATTTGATTCTGACTGAGCATTCTAAAGTGATTAACTGCAGTATGTGTACAGAAGGATATTGAGACCTGGATGGATGCATTAAGAAGTATCGATGGTTGTTACCTGAAGAGGAGTTACATGAAATTTCATCTGCTGCAACGAAGACGAATTGATTTCTGTAAAAGAAGATAAAATTCACAATTCTGCTTGCTGACTAGAAAATGCTGTAGCTGCCAGTTGAGTTGATATGTATAGATGGGACATTGGGAAGAAATTTAATTTTAAATAATGTGGAAGGAACACATGGTGACATATTTTAGTTCTACAGAATATTTAAGTATTGTCAGTAAGAATGGTTACAGGGTATTAAGGAACTGAAAATGAATTACAGATAATTCTATCAAAAAGTGCTTTAAGGCCGTAAGAAATGTATTTTTTATAAGAGTAACTCAAAGCCTCTGCTTCTGCTTGAGATTTTTAAAATGGTATTTATAAAAGGTTTTGTATGATATGGCTGATGTAAACAGCATGTTCTATAGTCCAAGTATATATTATATAGGTGTTAAACAATATACTTCAACTGAATATTTATGTTACATATTTAAATATTTTTAAATTTTGACTATGTTGTTTTACACTTCCATTTTTATATATGAGTATATCAATATTATTAATATGGTAAACATTGATCACAAAGATGCCCAAAATTTGTCACCAAGTCCCATAATTCTGGCAATAATTAATAAAAATTAATAGCATATTCTATAACATGGGAACCATAAATATTAAATATGGAAGCCCATTTTGAGTCCTGTCCCACAAGCAGGACAGCTTTGGATTAACATAATGAAATCTATATTAAAGTGTCAGTTGCCCCAAAATATGTATTTTAGATTCTTCTGTATACAGGCAAGTTGAATCACCTACTGTATTCTAATATATTTTGAGGAATCTGACATCAAGATCTTTTTACCTGAGCAAATAGATCCACCAACCTGCAGTTGCTACTACAAGGTGAAAGATCAAGTTCTCTGTTGGGTGAATATTTTAAGGCCCTCTCAAATCTCTGACTTTAAGGTGTACAAATGACCCTAAAGTGTGTACAGTACATTTGTGTACATTACATTGTAATGGCACAGTTCTTATATATGTATTTTTTATATATTTGTTTAATATTGCTTGCTGAATTTTTGTTGCAGTTTCCAGCAAACACATATTTTACAGGAATAAATGGTACTGCACATTGAACATATATACTGTGCATGTGTTTAAATGCATTGAACTGTACACAAAATGCACTAACCCTTAAAAAATGCATAAATAAAATTAAGGTAAAATGAATTTAAAAGCACATCAGAAAAGCACAACACTGCATGAAAACACACATAAAAAGCAGATAAAAAATGCATGCAGTTTTAATTGGAATATACACTGTTTTCTTATTTTTTTACATTAACATGTAATATAGATCAGCTGGATAGAAATAATCTGATCAATATATGGTTGCATTTTAAAATATTCTGTTTATATAATTTGCTGTTATATATGTACAGCCATATGTGCTTATTGCACACTAAGACTTCTGCTTCTTGCTTAGTAGTGCTACACAGTGGTTGTCCTTCACTGGTCCTTGTAATGACCTGTGTATATTGGTTGATTTAGTAAAGGATTAGAAAATGCTCACTTATCAAACTATAAGGGTTTTTTCACAAAAAAAGCCAAAGGATCCAGCCGTAGCTTCGGTTGATCCTTCGGCTTGCTTCGGCCACATGAACCCTTTGGTTCAGTCATACCGAAGAGCTGCTGTATGGGCTATTCACAATAGCCCGTAAAGAAGCTGAAGGCAGCTGAGTGGCATATGCTTTGGCTCGGCTGAGCCCTAGTGACACCCAAAGTGAGGTGAAATGACAACAGCTGGGCATAGCCAGCTATAATGCTTACAGAGATAGGCAGAGCCCGCTGTCAATCAGCCAGCGGGGTGTATCTCGACGGTATTGTCGGTATCTGTCCCGAGTGTGGGGCTCTCAGCATATAGCGGGCAATAGCCCACTATACAGTATACTGAGTTTTGGGTCACGGGAGGACATTAGTGTATGTCACCTCATGACCTTAAAGAGAAATATGGGATAAAAAGGTAACCCTATAGTTCTCTTTTAACTGTTTTAAAATGCAGTTTAGTTAATAGAAAAAATGTATGAGAGGTTCCAGTATGACAGTCTAGAGTCACAATATTGATATTTTTAATTTTTTTATCAAATAATCCACTCAGAGGTAACCTTGAAAATGTTACTCAAATCCTGTTTGCCTGCAAACAAATTGACCAATAACACTGGACAACAAATCTTTTCAACAGTTTTGCTTCCTGAAAAACATTGGTGTTGAATTAACCCTTAGGAAATATCTCGCCAAAAATTAAAATAATATTTCAAGGGATGCCAAAAATTGTACTTGTATCTTAGTATAGACTTCTGGGAAAATCAGTCAGCCAATTACAGAAGCAGGAAGTGACATTTCTAGTGGTTTTCCATCTACCAAGTGTATGCAGAACGCCCCCAGGTTGCCATACTGCATTGAATTTTTGTGGCAGATTTAGAACATTACAGCAGTATCACATAATACAATAGAAAATGTGTATACTTAGAATGTTACAAGGAAATACAAAAATAAAATATTGCAAAAAAATTGGAAGTGACAGGTTAAATTACACTTTAATTTCATGATTAGCAGCCCAAAATCTATAAGCTACACCCAGAAGTGTATAAGGAGATCAGCCGCACTCCACAAAAACTGACTGATTAAAAGCCTTTATTGAAGGTAATAAATGAGTAAGCCTTTTTCTATTAGTACGCCGGTTATATACGTAAGAGGCTGAACGAGTTTGGGTGTCAATATTTTACAGTGTGTATCTGTTACCTTCAATAAAGACATTTTGAGTTTTTGTGGAGTGCGGCTGCTCTCCTTATACACTTGTGTCCTTTGGGACGATGGTGCACCAGTTTATCCTGCTCCCATGAAGCGAACAGGTAATGGAGTGTTGGAATTTGAGCAATGCTTCTGTTTGGAATGTGCATGAGGAACACCTAGAAGTGTTCAAGAAGCAAAATCTTTGTTGTCCAGTGTAATATTGTATGCATTTATGCAACTAAATTTATTTTTGCATGTGCTAATTTGGAACAATCCTAAAACATTTGTCATTCTGTCCTCTTTCTCCCTGCCCTTTTTATAGAATATTTACTATAGCTATTACCAGACTAAATGGAATGATTACAAGTGTTGTTGAGTTGACACCACATTACCTAATTAAATGCTTCAATCAAAAATAAAAATAAACTGAACTTTACATTTAAATTGCCTAAAAAGGGAGCCAAGGTGTGCACCTTTAAATGTGCTAATGCACACAAGTGTTACTGTGGCCTAAATGTATGTATAATTGTCACAAATGTAAGTACCTGAATTTGACTTGGTATCAGCCCATTGTTACTTCTTGTTTAATAGAAGAAAGGGAGGCCTGGCACTACCAACTAGTCAGGTTATCTGCATGTACAAATGCTGATAAGGAACATACTGACTGGATAAGAGAGCAAAGTAAGAAGAAGGATTAGATCCTCACTACTACTGCTTATTCCCTGTTCAGTTACAGGCTAGGGAAAGGGAGGTGTCCAAGCTATACAAAAACTTAATTTGAGAAAAATCAAGCCAGCAGACTGGCTCTGCTGTCTGGTAAGGCTGTTTAAATCTCATGAGCTGGATGGGGAAAAATGCAAATCCTTTGGAAGGTAAGTATGTACAGCCTCCAAGTAAAAAGGTGAACCTATAAAGTGGTACTTCAGGATTTTTTAAAATTATTTGCTAAACTCCACCCCACCTATACATCAAAAGTGCCAATGCTCACATATCCCCTACACTTTTGCACTGGAGTGAGGAGGATCAGGTCCTTTTCAGGGTAGAACAACACATTCTTCCAATTTCCTGTGAGCCCAACCTGTCATTTATACACCCCCTATGGGTCATGTCATCACACAGGCGGGGATCATAGTACTCCAGGACTGAGCGGTGCTCACACATCATTATCTGAGTGCCACTGAGTCCCGAAAGAATACCTACTCCCCACTGCCAATGGCGTATGAAGTGGTAGTCCTCGTGATGTCATCAGACCAGCAAAAAGACTGCAGAAAAAAAGGTATGTATAAAGGTTTGTAAACAAATATTTCAGAGAGGGAGGCTTGGGATAGGTAGGTGGTGGGAAAATAAAGTTGCAGTTTCACCTAAAATACTTTAAGGATATGAAAAGGGTTCAGGAAAAACAGTATTTTCAGCATAAAGTTGAGATCAAGAACCGGGAGGCATGACCTTACACTAGAGAGAAAGTTCATAACTAACTTTAGAAATGATTTTATTGAAAGAGTAGTGGACATATGACTATTCTTAAAAAGGTTAAATAAGCACACAAAAAAACAAATAAATGAACAAAACCCTAATGAGGAAGGGCAAAGCAACAATGGACCCCTCTTATTTCCATCACTTTTCAACATTTTGTGTCTACCTGTTTGCCTGAAATATAGCATCACACACAATTTTACTAGCTTGCAACCTCTTTGTGTAACTTTCCTCCTTTATATGGTCACTTTTATTAGGATTTGTGCCATCATTTTATTTGTAGTGAATGTATTCTGCCAGGGATTTTTTTTTTAAATTCATTTGCTTAGCACTATACCTTTCTATTTAATAATTTTAGTAGTATTTTGATATTTTTCTGTTAGTACAGTTTCAGAACATTTCCTGATAAGGGAGCCTACATCTGTATAAGTATGTTTACATATTAGTTTTTTATCTTTTTAATTAAAATTTCTATCCAATCACACCCTTTTGACTGGTTTACAGTGTGCAAAAAAAGGCATTCAGCAACACATAAACTGCCTGAAAAGGAAATCAAAGCAAGCTAATTAGTATTTCTTCAGCCATTCTATAATAACATGGCATGCTCATTTGCAATCACACACATGCAAACATATAAATAATCATTCTGCCAACTCTTACATTAAATTTAATTTGTTGAGTTCGTTCATTTGTTTGATGGACATATGTCTTTATTCAACCTCAAATACTATGAATACATAGTGCTAATAAACAATCCATGGTACTCGCCTCTGGTTTGCAACCTCAAATACTATGAATA